TCTCTCTCTCTCTCTCTCTCTCTCTCTCTCTCTCTCTCTCTCTCTCTCCCCCCCAGCCTTCTCTGTGATGACTGGCTTTCTGTGTGTGTGTGTGTGTGTTATGTCATGCAGGAAGAAGCAGTGTATTCAAGATATCTCAGCGTGTTCAATCGTGTCGTTGAGGTAACTTGTCGGCCCTTTTCCCATGTGTTGGTAATAGCTATTCAGCAGTCACGGACTCGAAATGGTCGTAACTCTCCTCTGTCAATTCTTCTGCTCGTGTGATCATCGCATCCCTCACGACACTTCATTTCTATCAGTTGCCTCGTTGCCATACAAATGCTGGAACCAGAGCTCATTGTGCTTGCTTGCAAATTGACTTTCTCCAGAGCAGTTTCCTTGCACTTCGGAAAGCAGCATCAGCAGATTCAACACCAAAAGAAATAATAATAATAATAATAATAATAATAATAATAATAATAATAATAAGAAGAAGAAGAAGAAGAAGAAGAAGAAGAAGAAGTGTTGTCACACCAAAAGAAAGAACCAGAAGAAGAAGTATTGTTCACACCAAAAGGAGGAGGAGGAAGAAGAAGAAGAAGAAGAAGAAGAAGAAGAGGAGGTGGGAGAAGAAGAAAGAAAAAGAAGAAGGAGAAGAAGAAGAAGAAGGTGGTTTTGTCAAGACATGTGGTATAGTGCCTTCCATTCCGGCAAAGAAGACGGACGAATGGCAAAGAAGACGGACGAATAAAACTATGTCGATCTCGCACGTAATAATCGCTGCAGAAAGGCACAAAACAATACAATATCACATCAGTCGTTTCCTACGACTGCCTCCTGAGAAAGAATTTCACAATACACTCTTCTACTGCTGCCCCTTGAAAACAATAGTCTTTGTAGTATGTACTGCTGCGGCCCTGCCCCCTATCGAGTCCTGCTGTGCTCCTTGCTATACATTTACAGTAGAGCTGTTCATCCTTCTCGTAACCTACCAGTTTTGCCTTGCAGCTGACAGTGTACACAGTTACTCCACCATCCCAGTGCCATGATCTGCCATTTGCCTTGACGACTTTTCGTTGGTAACTACCGTCTTCACCCGAATAGAACGCCCGGTCATTATAGCTGCATTTGTACCAACTTTCAGTCCAGATGCAGCGATAATGACTGGGCGTTCTATTCGGGTGAAGACGGTAGTGTCTGACAGACTGACACTGTCTGTATTGTGTGTTACTGCCATACTTTGCTCATATCTACTGCGAGCCCCCCCCCCCCAATTCGCTGCTGCAAGCAACCCTCGGGGGGGGTGTACTTAATTGATAGTACTTGATACTACTTGATTGATATACTTGATACTACTTGATTGATAGTACTCGTACTACTCGCTACGTTTATAAATAAATAATAATGTTTGTGACACTTTGTGTGTGTTTATTGGGAATTGTTTATCCTCCTTCACAGATCTCTCTTACTACGCCACCCATCTCTTCCTCCTCTGCCCAAATTGCTTCTATGCAACGGTTTGACCCGTCACTTTCTCATCATTTACGTGAATTTACGTGAATTTATGTGAATGTATTAAGGGGGTTTCATTCCGCAACTTGCCTGAATTTCATGCTATATTTGAAAATTTATCCTCATGCACGTCTCTCGCACCACGCTATCCATCTCTTCCTCCTGCCCAAATGCTTCTGTGCAGTCAAGTTACTTTCTCATCATTTACGTGAATGAGAGACGCCGTTACGTACCTCGACCTGCCTGGATTTTGCACTGCATTTGAAAATTGGAAATTTGTCTGCAGTCAAAGAAGGGCGGAAAACTTCAAAAAAGAAAAGGAAAGAAATTGGATTGTCATTTCGTATGCGGTTATTGATTTTTTTTTTTTTTGTCATCCATTTGTCCAAGTTTTTTTTTTTAAT